CGAGCTTGAACCAATTGATGAGTAGTCAGATGAACTAACTGGAGCTGATGAAACAAATGAAGCACTAGACCATTCGGAGCTTGAAGCAACTGATGAGTAGTCCGATGAGCTAGATAAATCTAAAGAAGCTGTAGTTTCACCAGGCTTAACAGTGGTAACTTTGGAGTAATCTGATGAAACAGTAGACCGTTCAGAACTTGAAGCAATAGATGAGTAGTCAGATGAACCAGATAAAGCACTAGACCATTCTGAGGTTGAAGCAATTGATGAGTAGTCAGATGAACTAACTGAAGCTGAGGAACTAGATGAAGCACTATACCATTCTGAGCTAGAACCAATTGATGAGTAGTCCGATGAGCTAGCTGGAGCTGATGAGCCAGATGAAGCACTAGACCATTCTGAGCTTGGAGCAATTGATGAGTAGTCCGATGAGCTAACTGGAGCTGATGAACCAGATGAAGCACTAGACGATTCAGGACTTGAAGCAATTGATGAATAGTCAGATGAACTAACTGGAGCTGAGGAACTAGATGAAGCACTATACCATTCGGAGCTTGAAGCAATTGATGAATAGTCAGACGAACTAACTGGAGCTGATGAACCAGATGAAGCACTAGACCATTCTGAACTTGAAGCAACTGATGAATAGTCTGATGAGCTAACTGGAGCTGATGAGACTCTAGACAATTCTGAACTTGAAGCAACTGATGAGTAGCCAGATGAGCCAGTGTTACCTGGACTGATAAAAGATGACTCAATCTGAGATATAGATCCTATTGATGAAATACTTGTCAAAGATGTAGTCACTGGATAATACGTAGCAATAGTTGTTTGCTGTTGCATGGAAGTATTGGCATACTCTTCTCTCACTTTGTATGTTGTTCCATCAGTATCAACCAAATAGATCAAAACTCTATAATTAGTATTTTGTCTGTATGTAGTGTATTGTGACAAAGTGGTGGTGTGGGTGGAGAATTCAGCAGTGGTGGATGAAGGTGGTAAAGTAATCTGAGAGCTGACGAAGGTTGAGCTGGTAAAAGAACCTTCACTCGTAGTTGATGGCCGTTCGCTTGTAGTTGATGATGGTGAAGCAGAATAGTTGTCCGAATAACTCACAATAATGGAAGTTGGCTTGATGATGCTTGAGCTTGAAGGAGTAGCGCTTGATGGTTGTGCGTTACTGCTGGTTGTAACTTCCTCAACACATTGATAGTTGTACTCATCGATAGAGCGACACGACCATCCCTGAACGCAGCAGCTTGGACCATAGTAACCTTTTCCACCACATCTACCAGAGGCAGTAACACATATTTCAGCACTTGTTGAAACTAATGAAGATGTTTCATCATTTGATGATGATGTTGTTCCACTTAGTGTAATAGTCGTTGCCGATATTGTTGATGGTGAATTTTTTGAAGACTCGGAATTTTGGTGTGAGGCTGGTGTATGTGTGGATGTATCACTTGTGGCTGATGAGTGAGGCACAACGCTGGATGTCAAACTTGATGATTTTGAAGCACTAGATGAAGCTAGAATGATGCTGCTTTCCGTTGTAGTAGTGGAAGAGAAGACGAGTCCGTTTGAAGAGCTGGTGATCTTACTCGTGAATGTATCTGTTGGCAATTTACTTGACAAAGTTGACGTTGCTCTGGAATATGACGTAGCATCAGATGGAACACATTGATAGTAATAATCATTCATAGATGAACAAGCAAAACCGTTACCACAACAGTTTGGTCCAACATAGTTGACACCACCACATTGCCCATAATCTGAGACACACTGAGTTGCTGAAGCTGTAGTTGGTTTTGATGTGGTTGTTGAAGAGGTGGAAGTTGAGCTTGTTGAAGTGGTTGTTGGTTGTTTTGCTGAGGTTGTGGTTGAGGTTGAGGTTGAGGTTGAAGTAGCAGTACCTGGAACACACTGATAATAATAATCATTCATAGATGAGCAGTAATATCCATCGGTACAACAGCTTGGAGAACCGTAATTTGCACCACCACATTGACCATAAGCCGAAACACAATTTTGATTTGATTTCGATGTGCTTGTTGATGTACTTGAAGTTGTCTTTTGTGTGCTTGTAGTTGAAGTGGCAGCAGTAGTTGGCTTTGAAGCCGGCGTTGTGGCTGTTCCTGGAACACATTGATAATAGTAATCATTCATAGATG